ATTATGCATAACTTCCTGAGTGAAGCTATAAATAACATTGAGAAGGGAAGAGAGCTAGGCAACTGGAGCACCTTTGGGATTGTCTTGCTTATATTTAACAGAAATACCAGAAGTAGAAGGCTTTAGCAAATAGAACTTTATTTTCTCACAGTTTGTGGTTGTGGTTGTTAGGTGCCATTGAGTCAGTTCTAGCTCATAGCAGCCCATGGCTACTCATAGAGGTGTACAACACTGAACATAACTGTGTTAGTCTGGGTTGTCTAGAGAAACAAACTCATAGACACTCATATGTGTATAAAAATAGCTTTATATCAAAGAGTAATTGAATAGTAGGAAAACATCCCAGCCCAGGCCAGATCAAGCCCATAAGTCTGATATTAGCTCATACACCCAGTACCAGTCTATAAATTCCTCTGCAGATTCATGCAACATATGCGATGATGCTGAATGCAGGAAGATCACAGGCCAGTGGGTGGAAAGTCTTGTGGATCCAGTGGTGATGGAAGCATCTCAGCACTGGAGTGGGTCTCCATGTGGCTCTTCCAGCTCCAGGGCTCTGGCTCCATCAGTGTACCTCGATGTGGCTTGTCAGCAGGAATGTCTCACAGGGAGAGTGTGTCCTGCCTCTAGGGTGGAAGACAGTAGTTCTCAGAATCCTCAGGAGAAGGCCATGCCCACACAGAGGCCTCACTAGCTATCACATGAGTAACAGGCTAGACTCCACCCCTTTGCCCAAGTTGGCAGGAAATTATGTAACTGCCACAATAACACCACCCAGTCTTGTACCATCCTCACAACTATTCTTAGGCTTAATCCTATTGTTGTAGCCCTTGTGTCGATCTATCTTGTCTAAGGGCTTCCTTTTTTTTGCTGCCCCTCTACTTTAGCAAGCATGATATCCCACATGGACTGGACTCTCCTGACAACATGCTGAAAGTACAAGGGGGTACCCAAATAAAACTGGAATCTTTTTTCAAAGCTGTGTATTTAAATTTTTTTTTACAAAATCACAGTAACACCTTCAAAGTACTCACCATTACACTTAATACATTTATCAAATCTGTTATTCTATTCTTGGAAACACTTTTCAAACTCATGTGCTTGGACAGCTTGACAGCACCTCCCTCTTTTATTTCTTCACATCTTCTATGTTGTCAGAATGCTTTCCTTTCATGTCTCTCTGTATTTGAAGAAACAAAAAGATGTGGCATGGAGCAAGGTCAAGTGGGGCAACAGAGGCATGTTGTTTTCTGCCAAAAAACTGGAGCATTGGGATGACTACGTGAGCAGGTGCATTGTCGTGGTGGCAAAACCAGTCCCCCATCTGCTACAAATCAAGCCTTTATTGTCACACACAATTATAAAATCTTTTCAGAGCCTCTAAATAGAAAGCTTGATTAACAGTCTGACCTTTTGGAATGAACTCCAAATTCACTGTGACTCAACATTTTCATCTGTTTGGAAAGTTGAAGGGTGTCCAGAATGAGGTTTGTCATCAATGGACATTTCACCCTTTTTGAAACAAGAAAACTACTCATGCACTTGAGGTTTTTCCCATAGCGCTGTCCTAGTAAGTTGTGTTCAATATCACAACAGTTTCTGCAGCATTTTTCCCTAGCAGGAAAGAAATTTTCACAGCCACACTCTGCTTTTTAAAATCAGAGATCACAAACAACAAGGTTCAAGTGAAACCACTTTGACCAAAAAATTCACTATGACCAGAGAGAAGGTCCCCAGGCAACGCCACTGGATGTACTAACTCAGAGTGAGTTATTCAATGCTCGCCTAATAGGAAAAATGCTTATTATGAAAGCTCTGCCCAGTGGAGCTTATTTTTTGCTGGGGGCTACCTTCTCATATATGAGATGAAGTCTCCCCATCCTCTAAGAAGTAGTCTGGCTGTACTTCTTCCAAGAAAGATTATTTGGTTCTTTTAGCAGCCCATGGTACTTTCAATAATCTTTTCCATCATCCATAATTCTAATACGATATTTTTTATTCAATGTCCAACTTTAAAAAAAAAAAAGAAAGAAAACAGAAAACAACATGACTCGGGTCAGACACACCTTAGTCATCAAAGAAACCTCCTTGGTTTTCAATACTTTAAAGAGGTCTTGTGCAGCAGATTTGTCCAATGCAATGCGTCCTTTGATCTCTTGACTGCTGTTTCCATGAACATTAATTGTGGATCCAAGCAAGACAACTTCAATCTTTTCTCCATTTATCATGACTTTACCTATTGGTCCAGTGGTAAGAATTTTGGTTTTCTTTACATTGAGTTGTAATCCGTACTGAAGGCTCCCATCCTTGATCTTCACCAGAGAGTGCTTCAAGTCCTCCTCACTTTCAGCGAGCAAGGTTGTGTCATCTGTATATTTCAGGTTGTTAACAAGCCTTCCTCCAATCCTGATGCCACATTATTCTTCATATAATGCAACTTCTTTGATTATTTGCTGAGCATACAGATGGAATAGATGTAGTAAGAGGGTATAACCCTGCTGCATGCCTTTCTTGATTTTAAACAATGAAGTGTGCCCTTGCTTTGTTTTCACAATGCTCTTGGTCCATGTACAGGTTCTGTATAGCACAATAAGATGTTCTGGGTTTCCCAGCATTCCCAAGACTGTCCATTGTTTGTTACGATCCACACAATCAAATGCCTTCGCACAGTCACTGAAGGACAAATAAACACCGTCCCAGTGTACTCTCTTTGAAACAAGATTCATCCAACATCAGCAATGTTATCCTTGTTTCATGACCTCTTCTGAATTGGGCCTGAACCTCTGGCAGCTCCCTGTCCATGTACACCTTTGTTAGATGATCCTCTAACAGGTGATCACTAAAAGATCACCACTTGTCTGTCAGTTTGTCACACTATGGTTGGTGGTTTGTGTGTTGCTGTGATTCCGGAAGCTTTATCACTGGTATTGCAAATGACAGCAGGGTCACTCAAAGTGAACAGATTTCTGGGGAGCTTGCAGACGAAGAATAGACTATGAAGAAGGAATCAACCATCCTCCTCAGAGGAATTAGCTCCTGAGAACTTTACACACAGTATTGAAATTATCTCACAGTACAGAAAATGAAAAGTCCAAACCCAGGGGCCAGCTACAATAGAAGATTTACTTTCTTTGCCAACTCTGTAGAAAGGTCCTTGTTGTCAATTTTCTCCTGAGTCTAGGAATTTCTCAACACAGGGACCCCAAGTCCAAAGGATGAGCTCCACTCCCCGTTCTTCTGCCTGGATGACAGATGATCCCTCTTTTTCTGTTGGCTTGTCACTTATCTCTTATAAGACAAGTGTTATAGGCCACTCCTCAGGGAAGCTCCCCTTACCTCAAATCAGACCTGTGATCCAATTAAGGGTATTGTATCCCAATCCCCTTATAACTCATTGGTTGATCACATAAGATCATATTATGGGGAATTTTATATCATTACATAACTGTCAAACCCCTGAGAAATATGGCTTAGCTAAATTGACAGTATTTTTGGAAAGATAATTCAATTCACAACCAGGATCAAAAAGAAATCTATAGCAAGAGGTGTACTCTAGTAAGTATTTCTCCACAAGCTGATTCTACTTTTACAGGATCCAAGAAAGAGCCAAGTCCACTCATGCACTTTGAGTCATTGAGTCCTCTCTAAGGAGACTGAGTCCTCAACAGAAAGAAGAAGCATCAGTTGTCTAGCCAGCTCTTCATTACTCTTGAGTAGAACAAGAAGAATTGAGGTTTTTCACACCCTCCATTTACTTATCAAGTTAGAAAATAATAAAAGAAAATGCCATGTTTGTATTGGTCACAGGCTTATATATCTGTGCCTTGTCAATGGCTCTTACAAAACCCATCTGTCATTTTGTTTTTGTTGGAATGAAAACACATAATTTCTTAATTCTATTTCAACCATGGATTTATTTCACTGTCACTTACGAATAAATGATTCAGACAGTGCTGTCTCATCGGAGTGGGAGTAAAGATGACAATACATACTAATTCTAACAAAATGAACATTTAAATGTGCATGAAATTACAGAGTGACTAAATACAAAGTGAAGAGTTCATTTCTATCACATATAATAAGAACTCATAATTCTATTTTATTGCAAATTCATTAATAAAAATATTTCTATCAAATCTGGTAAATACATGGTGTACATGTTGAATTATTATTGTAATAGAAACTTCAAATTCTTCTGTAGCAATTTTGAGAGAAGCATAGTTATTTTTTACTGTATACATTAATGATATTAAGGTGTTTGTATATTTACAAGCTACATTATAAGACACATAATATGACCAACCATGTGTTTAAAATAGCCTATTTTAACAGGGTTCCTATTGTTATGGACTTAAATCTGTCTTCCAAAAAATATGTTATAAAAATCAGACCTGTGATTATGATGCAATTTGGAATTTCATTTCTTTGTTATGCTAAACAAAAGCCAAATAGCCCTATCATCAAGTCAATTGTGAGTCATAGTGATTCTATATAGGATTTTCTAGACTGTGAATCTTTAGTGAAGCAGATGCCTGCTGAAATCAAGAGGAGTTGAAGCACCTGCTGGTGAAAACCATACTGCAACCTCTGTATGGATTGCAACTCACTGTAAATAAAACAAAAATCCTCACAACTGAACCAATAGATAACATCGTGATAAATGGAAAAAGGTTGAAGTTGTCAAGAATTTCACACAATAATCAATGCCCATGGAATCAGCAGTCAATAAATCACACAATGTAATGCATTGTGCAAATACATTGCACAAGATGTGTTTGTTTATAGTGTTGAAAAGCAAGAATGTCATTTTAAGGACCAAAGTGCACCTGACTCAAGCCATGGTGTTTTCAATCGCCTAATACGCATGTGAAAGTTTGATAAGGCACAAAGAAGACAAAAGAAGAATTGATACACTTTAGTTATGGTGTAGCAAAGAATATTAAAGGTATCATGGACTACTAAAAGAACAAACAAATCAGTCTTGTAAGAAGTACAGGCAGGTGCTCACTTTGGCAGCACATATACTAAAATTGGAATGATACAGAGAAGACTAACATCGCCCCTGAGCAAGGAAGACACACAAATTCGTGAAGTGTTCCATGTTTAAAATATATATGTAGTCAGGATGCTCCTTAAAACCAAGGAAGGCAAGACCTCGTCTCATGTACTTTGCATATGTTGTCAGAAGAGGTCGGTCCTGGGAAATGGACCCCACATTTGGTCCGTAGAAGTGAGGAAGTCCCTCAGTGAGATAGATTGAGGCAAAGGCAATAATGATGTGCTCACATAAAGCAGTTGTGGAACTAGCGCAGCACAGGGCAGGGTTTTGTTCTGCTGTATGCCAGAGCCACTGTGATGTGGAACCAACTCAACAGCACTGAGCACCAGGAACAACGTTTGTGGCATGATGGCAAGTCAAAGAGTATTGCTGCAAAATCATAAAAACCTTGATTTAAAAATATCTAAAGTGAAGCTATTGACATCAATATCACACTTCTAAAGGTAATATTTCCTTTTGGACAACCGATCCCTGAAGAATGTTGTGCTCATCGCTTTATATCACATCAAAACAGCCGTTTTCTCATCTTTAAGGAGCTCAACTCGTGTTCTTTTCATTTTCCCTTTGAGGTTATTGAACACAGAAAATTATGAAGGGAAAGATAAGACCAGTAGGGCAAATGGAGTGAGGGTTCTGGATGAAATTCACGTTGGTCAGTCCTCGCCGCCCAGGATGAATCAGTAGGGGCATCATCATGATGGAAGAAATTTCTTTGGCACAACTTCCCTGACCTTTTTCTCGTCAATGCAGTTTTCCATTTCTGTAAAACTTCATAGTAGGCCCTGTGATTGTTCTAGGTCCTTTGATAAAATCTGCAAAGATTATCTCTTTAAAATCTCAGGGAGCAGTCAATAGCTGACCTCTATGCTCTGAATTTCATTTGCTCAGGAAATCCCCTCAGAAGCCATTGTTTTGATTGAACATTTTAAAATCACCCTACCCCGACTAAGGCAAAGGTATTACTGGGAGAACTTGTTTGCAGTCATCCATGGAATAAACTTGTATAGTTTGATGCTTGGATACTTTTTTACTTACTCTTATATAGAAGTTGCTGATTAAGAAGAGAAGAAGTGACGGGGGGGATTAAAAGCCATCTGAGATGAAGGAATCAAGGTACACGGGCCTTCCCTCTCAGTGGACAGAAATGTTTCCCCTATAGCTAGAGCTCTGAGTTAGAGGTCTAGCCTCCTGTTACAGTTACATAATCTACTGTCAACTTGAGGAAGGGGTGGAGTCAGGCTTGTCATTCAGATCATAGCCAATGCTCTGTGTGGGCATGGCCTTCTCCTGAGGATTCTGGGAACTTCTACCTTCCTCCCTGGAGGTGGGATACACACTCTCTCTGCTTGGTTTTTCTATTGACAAGCCATATGGAGCTATGTTGATGGACCCAGAGTCCTGGAGCTGGAGGAGCCACATGGAGACCCACACCTGCACTGAGATGCTTCCACTGCCACTGGATTCACAAGACTTTCCACCAATTGGCCTGTGATCCTCCTGCATTCCGCATCATTGCTTGTGTTGTGTGAGTTTGAAGAGGAATTTATATACTGATATCGGACATATGGGCTAATATCGGACTTATGGACTTGATCTGGGCTTGACTGGGATGTTTTCTCAATATACAATAACTCTTTTATATAAAGCTATTTCTTATATACCTATAAGTGTCTATGAATTTGTTTCTCTAGTCAACCTGGACTAACACAACTACTTAAGTGTAAGAAAATAAATTTGTTTTTAAAGGCATTCATGTGGAATATTTCTGTTATAACAATACCAGATAAGTAAAATACCTGTAAATCATCATCTACAAATGAAAGCAAGATAGTGTAGCTGCAGAAGAATAAAGCACTCCCAGAAGAGGGTGCAGAACCAATATTAGTTAGAAATCAGCCAAGTGTCTATCCTGTTAAATCTTTAGCTGTTGTACTCCATCTCCTCCCTGAACAGCATTCTGAGATATATTGTGTTCCCCTTGACCAGTCAAGGAAATGAGGCCTAGAAAATGTCAGACACGGACTCATTTGGACACAGGTAGGCCATACACTTGTCACTCTACTACGTCCCTTACCTTTGAGGAAGCAATATCGGAAAAAGAAACAAACTGGGATGGAAATGTGTTAGTACGCAGCGTTAGATGTCCTGACCTATTCTAGGCAGGGAAGGGTGGCAAGAAAATAAGTAAAAGGTCCAGAAGGGTGAGATTGAAAATATGTAATTTAGGACATTAAAGGAAGCCTCAGAAATTCTTGAATCCTTACAGTCAGCACCCAGAAAATCTGATAGCGACTACATGATTTTCCAAAAATAATAAAAGCCAGGAAATGGCAAGATCCCTTTTTCCCCCATTTAAAGCCCCCCCCCCCCCCCCGGGCCCCTGTTTTCTCTAAGAGTAAAGAATTGAGCACATGCTTACCTAGTGAAAGTTCTCATCTACTTATGTAACCTGAGCAGGACCTGGAAGAGGCCTGTGGAATGATCAGGCTTCTGGAGAAGCAGCAATGTAATGGGCAACAAGAAAGCCTGGACCAGTCTCCTGGACTCTTCCGAGACAAGAAAGCTCCTTGTGTGGGGTCAGGGAAGTGCAGCCAGGTACACTCAGAAGTCACCACTGTTCTTTGCTTCACAAACACAGGGAGCACCCTCAATCAACCCCATAGTTAGGAATAAAAAAAGTTACCCTGTAAATGCTTGTTTGAAAACATTGAATGTGTTCCAATAAAGTGAATTGATAAACAAAGATTATCAAGGGTTGGCTGTCAGACTAATGCATGTTTTCACAGACGTTTGTGAAGTTATTAGGAAACACAAATCCTAGAAGGGCAATAAACCCAAAGGGCTTTTGAAAGGAAAGGTTAAGAGGAGTGGGAAGAACATTTTAAAACCTTCATGGAGGGAGTGAAGGGAGACATAGGTCAGTGTAAGACATGAAAATATAATAACAATTTATAAATTATCGAGGGCTTGTGAGGGAGGGAAGGTGGGGAGGGAAGGGAAAAATGAGTTGCTGATACCAAGGGCTCAAGTAAAAAGAAAATGTTTTGAAAATGATGATAGCAACAAATGTAAGACAAATGTAAAAATGTGTTTGGCACAATGGATGGATGGATGGATTGTGATAAGAGCTATATGAGCCCTCAATAAAATAATTTTTTTAAACCTTCATGGAAAAATAGAATTCAAAGACAATGGGATTTTCCCAGGAACCTTTTGAAACCCCATCTTACAGAAAATGTCTCAGGATAGGTAGAGTTGCTTCAACACGTAGTTATACTATTTATTGGGTCTTACTTCATACAATGTACTATGCTGGGTTAGAGAAACAGAGAAACAATAAAGTCTATCCCAAAGAAACTTGGCAGCATGGGCCTCACCTAGGGGTTCAATGTTTCCCTGACTATAAGGAGAGCTACATGGTGCTTGAAGAGATTCTGGAACTTTTGTTATCAGCACAACTGACATCCCACAGATAAGCTAGTCTCAGCGCATTTTTCCTTTCACACATTATGGTATTTGGATATTTAATAGATCAGACGTTTCAGTAGTCCTTTAATGCTTGTGGTTTTATCCAAAATACTTAACTCAAGTTCATTTTATTCATGTGTTTTCAGTTTGTTTTGTAACCTCTTTCTGCAAAGTTCACCAAACACATTGCCACAAAGCTGATTCTGACTCAGAGCAATGCTGAAAGCGTGCCCAAGGCTGTAAATCTTTATAGGAGCAGATAGTCTCATCTGTCCCTACAGAGTGGCTGCTGGGTTTGAACTACTGACCTTGAGGTTGGCAGTCCAATGCTCACTTAACAGTGCCATTTCAGCAAGCCACACTGATTATTTATTTTTTTAATATGGTTATCCGTCAACCATACTTTAGAGGACAGACCACTTAAAGGCTGCTTAATAAGTGTGCCATAACAAATCTAAAAACAACCCACAGAATTGCTTTCCAAACTCAGTGAAACTTACAGACGATTATAATAATATCAGTACTTTATTACCTTTCCAAAACACTTTACAATATAGTGGTGATCCCCTTCATTGAAATCTCTTAGAATTTAGGTGCCATCTACAGGAAGGAAAGAGACCCATAGAGATTCTGTTGTTCCTTTGATGTCAGAAAATT